GGAACTTGGCTGCTTGTGTGATGATGTTCCAAAGTTCTATTTAGTAACTTCACACCCCATTGCATGCAGGAATAAATTGCTCTTGCAAAATGTAGGAAAGAATGAAACTTCAAACTCTATTGTGGTTACAACAACCAGAAAAAAGCTACTTAATTTCACTTTCATTTGGTTTCATATATTGGCATTAAAACTGAGCAGGAAAAAAATAAAATACTGAAATTTTTATTTGTTTGAAGAAATTGATGTCAGTGTGCCTTTAAATGCACATCCATCATTTTTGTTCTTGTGATGTGGCAGATATGCAATGACTGGACAGCTGAATGCAAAGAGCGACGTATACAGCTTTGGTGTTGTCCTGCTTGAGCTCCTGACAGGAAGGAAACCTGTGGATCATACATTACCACGTGGACAGCAGAGTCTTGTAACATGGGTACTAATTTTGTTCTGTTTTCCTTTGTCTGTTGTTTGTGTTCTGATTTTAGGTTTTCTTGGAGACTGAGCAACACCATATCTTTTGGAATATGTTTTAGGCCACACCAAAGCTCAGTGAAGACAAGGTCAGGCAGTGTGTTGATGCACGACTAGGAGGAGACTACCCTCCCAAGGCAGTTGCAAAGGTAGTTGCTGACCTTCATATGTGTGGGTGTGTATGGTGTGTAGATGTATAATTTGCTTGCAATGAAAAGGGGGGCCAAAGGATTGCTGGATTACTGTGCACTTTAAGGTTCATTTTTGTTTCTAAAGACTGTTACTGTTAAAACATCTTTTGATGCCTTCCAGAGCATTTTAAAGGATGCATTGTGCTTGAATTTCTAGGAAAACATAAAGATGCTCTGCCTAGAATATTGGGCGGTAAAACATGTATGATGTAGGGGGTAAGATATCTGATGCTTTATTGTTAGTTGCTGTTTCCTGAGCACTTTGTATTGGATGCAGTTGGCTGCTGTCGCTGCGTTGTGTGTACAATATGAAGCTGATTTCCGGCCAAACATGAGCATTGTAGTCAAAGCGCTCCAGCCTCTTTTAAATGCCCGACCTGGCCCTGTTGGGGAAACTCGCCAAACATGAGCATTGCTGAGAAAGCCTTTGGACTCCATTAACGCTCAGCCTTTTGATACTGGTGAAACCATGAGTTTGAGAATTTTCCTCCTCTAAATACACCTCATGGGCATGAGCTGAAAATATCATGTGAGAATTACATCAGAAATTAATGATTTTGAAGATAATGCGTGTGTTGCTATGCTTCCATTTATTACGCAGCATTTGATCGTTCTTAGTGTTTGTGGTGTCTTATAATATGAACTTACAATATTTTTGCTGTATATGTCTATTAGTTATTTTCCATTAATAAAACAAATGGTTAACATATTTGTATTCACACCTAAAATCAAATCACAAATATAAATGAAAAATAAAGAAATTTAAGCACCAATTGTGAGCGGTGGTAGTGGTGGTGGGCAACAGTGGTGATGGTGGGAGATGGTGATGGTTGTGGTGAGCAAGGCGACGATCATGATGGTGGTAGCAGCAGTAAGTGGCAATGGTGATGGTGGTAATGGATTTTGAGCAACAATAATAGTAGTGACAGTCGTGGGTAGCAACAATGGTGGTGGTGGGTGTGGATGGTGTTGGTGGGACAACGACGGTGGTGGTGGGCTGTGATGATGGTAATGATGGATGATGATGGGTACTTCTAGACAACAGTGTGATGGGTGATGACAAATGACAGCGGTTGTAAGTGTGGTGGGGATAGATGACAGTGCGTGGCTGCAGTGGTAAGCGATGACAAATGATGATGGTTGGTGGTGGTAAGGTGTGGTAGGGTAGGTGACTGTGGTTGTTGGCGATGGGGGATAATAGTGGATGGTGGTGGGTTCTGACCATGAGTGACGGTAGTAGTGAGATGATGATGGTAATAATAATAAATATAAGAATAAAATCACAATAGTGGTGGGTGATAGTTATGGACGACGATGGTAGTAATCGGTGGTAGGTGGCGATAGTGGTTGGTGGTGGTAAGTGTGGTGGGGTAGGTGACAGTGGCTAGTGGCGATGATGGGGGGACAATGGATAATGGTGGGTGCTGACGATGGGTGACAGTGGTAGTGGAATAATGGTAATAAATATATGAATAAAATGACGATGGTGGTGGGTGACGGCTATAGACGATAATGGTAGTAATTGGTGGTGGGTGGTGGTGGGAGCAATAGAAATGGTGATGGTGGTGGTAAGTTGGTTGCAGCGGCGATGGTGGTGGTGGTGATGGTAATATGATGGGAGTGGTAGTGGTAGTGATAGTGGTGGTGGAACGATGGGGGTGATAGTCGTAGAGGTAGTGGTGGGGCGATTTCAAAGATTATTATTTTTAAAGTACTTATCAAAAATAATTCTTAAAAAATAATTTTAAAAATTCACTCCAAACACACTTTTAAAGGTTTGTTTTTTCTATTAAATTTGAGGTGTTATTAGCTGTTAAATTAACTTTAAAATAAAATTTAAAATAATCCCAACTGCAAATAGTAAAATTCATTTTGTTTATTTTTTTGGAGTCCGTTTGATTAGGAAGAAAAAAAATAATGGAAAGAAAAAATAATAGAAAAGTGAAGTGAAAAAAAAGAAAATGATAGAAAATATATTTTCATACATGTATTTGGTTAAAATGAAAACTTTACAGGTAAGTTTTAAAAAAAAATTAGTCTATTATTTGAAAGAAAGGAAAGTTATAAGTAATTTTTTATAATTGCCTAATTATATTAAATCGTACTAATGAGTATTTGATGCAATGATACTTTTTATCTTGTGAAGATTTGTCTTCTTGAAGTCAAAGGTTCAAGTCTTCTACCCCCTCCCCCTCCCACTCTCACTCCCAATCCCAAAAATAAATAAATAAATAAATAAAATAAAATAAAATAAATATATATATATATATATATGATGTATTAATATTATAAAAAAATTGTATTAAATCGGTCTAAAAAGAAAAAAGTAGGAAAATATGTAAATATAAAGTTAAAAAAAATTCAAAACATAATTCTAGAACAATCACAGATACAAGATTTTTTTGGTCAAATTATATGATTAATCAAAGTCATACTAATTTTTTTTTAAAATTAATAACTAATTCAATATTTTTTTAAAAAAATAGAAAAAATTTTATCTACACCCCTTCTAATTAGTCTTAAATTCAATGACACCCCCTCTTAATTTTGAAATTTCACTATACTCTCTTCTGATTTATACTTTCAAATCATAGAGATCACCTTTTGAAAAATGTCAAAACTACCCTTCCTCGGGTAATGACAGATTTATCCTTTTCCTTTCTCAAATAACGTTCAAAGCATCTCTTCTCACTCTCGTTTCAGGCCATTCTTCTGAATTGAGAGCTCTTGTGAAGGCCACGACGAAGGTGAAGAAGAAGCTGTTTGGATGTAAACATCTAAGTTTTGCTCTCTCTCTCTCTCTGGACCGAACGAAGAAGAGATCTGGCTCACGAAGGGATCCAGATCTGCTTCCGCCAACCATTCCCACCCTTTTTTCTGTCTCCAAACCAACATGTTTTCCGTCTTTCAGAGTACAACATCTGTCTTTTTCGCTTGGTGGCGGTTGTAGTTAGATCAAAATTCTAATTTTTTTGGATTATTTTTTACTATCAGGTGCATGCTTAATTATACTTGGTATGAGAATTAGGTCTCAAAGTTCTTCTGAATGCAGGCAATGGGGGTAAAACGAAGAAGCCCTAAAGCATGTTAAGGCCTTGACTGAATTGGGTCTTCGCCCTGTTGGTTTTGATGCTCTTCATTCACCGTAGCCATGTACTGAAATTACTTAACAAAAAAATATGACAACCGAATGAAGAGCCAAAATTACATAATCATTAATTTTTTTTAAAAGAAATCAAAATTTATTTCGTTTTTCAAAAAAAAATCCCACAATCTCAATATCACAATCCCACAATACTAAATGTTTGCTACAGAATATGAAGATATTTTTGGAGGTCCAATTGTCATACCAAACTACCCAATTTGGCAGAGAAATTAAGGCAAATTTCAAAGAGAGAGAGAGAGAGAGAGAGAGAGGGAGGGAACACCGACTTACTGAAGTGTTCTAGTGGTCGCCTTAGTTGAAGGCTTGAAAGTTGAAGCTTCTCATCGATTGAGTCAGAGAGATCGAGCTTCCCTGGGCTTCTGTTCCTTGCCTAAGAGTTGAGTGGTCGCCTGAGTGGTCATCTGAGTGATGAGTGATGGCCTGAGTGGTGAGTAGTGGCCTGAGTGGCCACTGACCTGCAAAGTGCGAAAATGGGTTGGTAAAATATGGGATTGATTTAGGGCAAAAATGGCCCAAACAAGGATTTATATATATATATATATATATAAATCTAGGAATATAATCTCCCAAATTTGAACTTCCATGAAGCTCCATCGACTCCCTCAAAATACCCTGAATATTGACAATTGAACAAAAGTTCCATGACCTTTGGCCTCAAGTGCACCGTCATGGGCTTCTCTCGGGAGTTTTGGTACAATTCCTTCATCCTCAAATTGACTTTATCTTCCCAGATACTCGTAAATATGACCAGACGTTTTGGAGAGAAATTTTCTAAAGCTGTGAGGCGCCTTAGGTTTCGCCAGTGATCGTCATAGGAAGAGAAACCCATTGTGGTGTTTTAATTGGTGTTGTTCTACAGGTCTTCTTGCAACAGACTATTAACCATGAAATGCACAAAGACAACATAGATTGGGTTAGGTTTAATAAATAGGTGGGGTTAACTAAACTAAATCATAATTAGTAGTGAAATTTCACAATCGAGAGGGGGTGTCATTGAATTTAAGCCTAACTAGAAAGTGTAGATAAATTTTTTTCAAAATATTTTATAGTAGTATCGTTAGACTATTCTTCTTTCTTGGTATATTCAAATAATAGATAGGAGCATAAACTAAAATATTCTGGAGCCAACTACAATACATTGTCAAAATCTATGTTACCATTACCCAAAGAAGAGTGCGATCATACCAACACTAATACACTGGATCCCATCAGAACTCCGCAGTTAAACGTGCTTGGACGAGAGTAATACTAAGATAAGTGACCTCTTGGAAAGTCCTCGCATTACATTCCTTTAAAGAAGAAAAAAAAAAACCCTAACTAATCCACGTTGCCTGCCTGACAAATGTCAGCGAAGGAAACATTGTAAATTAGTCCACGGGCATCGCAATAAGTCTTCTCACAAAATAAAATGTTGACATGTCGAGAAGCTCTGCAAAGAATGGTAATTCTTCACTAAAAGAACTGTATGGAACTAACTGCAATATAAATTGTGTTTGAACTAATACGAGTCATGTGGTGTGGCCGAGTTGGCTTCGCCCAAGATGAGAGACCCTTGAGGAAGGAATCACAGGTGCTTCTTCGTCTGCATTTAAATCGTGAGCAGAACTGTTCCTTCCATTCTTTCCTCCACTGCTATTGGTATTGTTACCAGTTACATATAGATCAGATGACTTCTTTTCCATCTTCAGCTCCTGCCAAAAGGGAGCAGGAACACGCAGCCTTAACATCAGTAGACAAAACCAATATATTACTGGAAACACCAAAAACAACTTCTACAAATCAGTAACATATAAAACCAACGGTTTCAGAACCACCTGGCAACTTAGAGCTTTCATGTGATTTAGAGCTTTGATGTTTTTCTTCTTTTTGTAATTTTTCTTTTCTTGTTTGGATTTTTTATTCAACCTTTTCATGTGCTGTCCATATTTTTTATACACTAGGGGTAATCGATGCCTGAACGGTAAAACGTAAGTGAAAAATGATAGATTTAGGAAACTACAGGTCAGTTATGTTTCTCAGGTCTTTTATACATGTCAGTTATGTTTCCTATCCAAAAAAAAAAAAATCGGGAAGCTACAGGTCATTAGAAACAAGTTATGTTAGAACTTGAACTGTTTTCCTGCATCAAATTCTGAACATTTTTGGAGTTATTATAATCAAAAGGCATGCATTCCTAAATGAAACGCCTTAATGATGATGCCATGTCATATCAATATTGCAACAGCTTAGAGCTTTGGCCAGATAATCACTTGAGATAAATGTAACTGCTTTGTTTCCAGAAACACCATCATCAAAACAGTAGGGCAAACAAGGTAGTGCCACTGATGGTGGTGAACATGTATAGCATCATTATTCTTATCATGTTGGGACACAAGGTTTGTCTACAATTCAGTTACTATACACTGATACTAATAACAAAAGCAGCAACCACTTGTTTTCTTCAGGGATTCACATCAGAATTATCAGTGCACAAGATCATGTTCAAATAATAAGGGTTCAACCTTCTAAAATCAAAAGATAAGTAAATCCAAAACTTTAGCCGTATGATGACTTATAAAAAGAGAATAACCAATTTAAAACTTATAAATTTGATCGAAACTTAGGAGATTGACCTTTGCTCTTTCTGTGATACTTTCCACAGGAAGTTGAGATGCACGAACATCCTTGACCTTCAAGTAGTTGTACATGACAACACCACATAAAGCTGCAGGAAAAAAATATCAAGTTTAATGTACCTTTGTGTTATTAGACAAGATTTTAAAACTTAACAAGGAATGGAAAGAGTACCAATTGCGTAGCCGACAATATTAAGTGTGGTAATTGTCGACTCTGGAAATATAATACTTGAAAGGGCTATCAGTATCCAGTCTTTTAAGACACCAGCAACTCGAATGGTCACGGCACCGGTTCTACCAATTACTAAGAAAATTGAGAAATTCAATGCAAGAGCACAAAGAGCATTAGAGAAAAATATCCAAAAATTAAACTGGATCTGTGAAACTTCCATTCCGGGCTTCTCCAGAAGATACCAAGGCACAAAGAGAAACACAAAGCTGCATGAGAAATTGAAATGACAATAAGCACTCCATAGAACAGCATTATTGAAACCTTATCACAAACTTAAGCATCATACCAGTTTCAACAGACAACAACATAGGTAAATAAGAGAAAGCAAAAGGATGGCTATTCTCACAATTCCTCAGTGACTCAAATTTTAGGGGGGTTTTTTTCAGAAAAAAACACCATTAAACTGAGGACATTAAGAATAATATGGAGACTATTGCCTTATTTATTTATTTTTCTTTGGTAAGACTAAAGCATCAATGATGAAGTTCCTAGATCAAATGTGTTGAAAACTGTATTGATATGGTCCAATTTCTCCCCCACAAAAACCAATGGGAAGACCATATCCTGAGTACATGCTTCCACATGTGTTCTGTTATTAGCCCATCAGTAGAAGGAAACAATTTGCAAATGGTTTTAAGAACCAATTGCCCTAAGCGAGTGAAAAGACATATCAATATCACCACAAGGCTGCCGCAAAAGACAACCACCCCAGACCCATGGTATCAGGAGAAGATCAAAATGTGGTGTCAGGTATTATTCAATGTCAGTATGAGTCTCTACGAGTCGAGCTTAGGACATTGGCATGTGCCATATGCTGTCCACTGCAATAAAGTTTACCACTTAAAATTTTCCAATTGTAGCGATTTTAAAGTAAATCAGAGTTTTCTATTATAATGTAGTGTTTCCGGAATGTTTTGGTGCAAATAATTGTTTTGGCCGCCATAAAAAACATGACCATTTTGTGTAGCCAATAGTAGGATATATGAGGCATACACTTCAACCATGTAGCTGACCCTTAGAGTCCGTGAAGGTACGACATGCATATTTGAATATAAACAAAATTTAATCACCTTATAGGCATGCCAAGAACCAAAATTTCCTTCTAACATACTTATCCCTTTTTTTTTTTGGTGAAATTGCCTTTCAATATTGATGGACTGCTGTAGCCTAAGTATTGGTGTAACATAAACCGACAAGTGCTATAGAAAATGTTCATTTGTGTTAGCACTCATAAGTACTTTACTCAACCCCCAAAATCAGACACCTAGTTATTCCCACCCCCCAAAAAAATGACTCAATACAGCATAGGTTCAAGTGATATAAGTATAAACAGGAATAATTAATGTCATTTTTCTATTCAAACACATGTTGTAACCAGTGTGGCATACACATGCATCGAATCAAGCATCTTGTTGATTGAAACACAAATATTAATTCAAAAGATTGATGTAGAATACCTGCACGGAGCTATGTAATATAAGCTGGTGATAGGATTAAGTGTAAGGCCTTTTTTTTGAAGAAGAACTTGAGTTAAGACCAACCTAAGAGCTTCAGCAAATATCCCTGTAACCTGATAAACTGTGCCCACTACATTGAAGTTAATTTCCCCGTACGAGGAAACGACTACTCCAACACTGACCAACACCATGTTCAGGAACAAGTCACATCTTAACTTGTCAGTGCCACAAATAACAGCCATGACAAAAGTCGCCACAGGCACTGTAAAATTTCAACATAAAGCATCACACTGCCAATTAGAAAAATTCAGAGCATAGCCATAAATTTAGAAAAAGAAAAAGACAGATAATATATCAACATACTTAAGGCTTTGAGCATCTGGATGAAGGCCACAGATATAAACAAATAAGCAGTGTTTCCGAACCTGTATTAACACAAAATTTGTGGCTTCAAAATATTGAAAGTTATGGCAAGACGGTAAGTTATAAGAATTCTGTGTCTACACCAGATGGAGAACTTCACCCCCGAAATATTTGCAATGTAATGAAAAGGGTATGCTTTTAGCACTTGGAGAGATGAAAGAAGTATTAAAGAAAAGTCAAGTGTATATGAAACGAATAAGTCATGATCAGTGATTGAATCGAAATTTTAATACTTCAAGATGTTTGGGCATGTTCTCACCAATATTTCTGATTATAGTTCAAAATCACGATATCGACCATCGACTCGAAGGGCATTGAGACACATCAGTCGCGGCATCGCAGCGCAGTATCAGCCGATATGCTCAAAATACTAGATAGCATAATTATTAGTATCATACGATACGTATTGTGTCTTTGAAAAACGATACATATCGTGTCTCTGTATCGTTTTTACACCGTATTGTACGATACGCAATACGATATGATACGCTCGATACGTGACGATTCTATTTTTTTTTTTTGTTAAAATGACATCGTTTTATCTTAATACTTATTTTTAAATCACTGGCTAGTGAAACAACGTTGTTTCAGTGGTTATAGTTTAAAATAAATAAATAAAGTCTAATGTTAATGTTGTTCCATTGAATTCAAAATTTATTATTAATATTAAAATTGTTCAAACAATTGATGTTAGAAGTTTAAATTAGAGGTCTTTACATTTTGATATTACTAAACTATGTTGAAAACTTGAATAGTTGGTAGAATATTAATGAAATACTACGTTATTATTAGTCTATGACTTTTTTATACATGTATATACATATATTTTATTAATAACTATTTAAAAATTAAAATTACGTGTATCTTACGATACACGATATTATACGATACACTATTTTTAAAAAACGATACGTCTTCCGATACACGATTTGACAACTATGCTAGATAAAAGGTCCAAAAATTTTTAAAAAAATCATAAAAAATTTCAAACAATATAAAGATCTTAATTAAGTATCATATCCCCAAAATGTATTATCTAATCCATCAAAGTTAATTAAAAAAAATTATAAGGGCTCTATCGATAATTGTTTAAACCTTTCATTACGTGTGCTATAGAGTACTTGATAGAAAAAAAAATATAAATCATAAAATATATTAAATAAAATTGAACAATGGGATTGATAAATAAAAAAAGCCAAAAAAAAAAAAGCAATGGACATAGTTGGTAGAAGCCAAGAGGCCTAAGAGACCCATACACCCGATATTTACTCCAAATTCAGATGATAACCCAATATTTACTTCATATTCAAACGAGATGTGAGAGAGAGATTGCAAGAAGCGATCGTGAGACATAGAGAGAGAGAGTGAGATCGTGAGACACAGAGAGAGAGTGATATCGTGAGACACAGAGATAGATCACGAGACTAACAGAGTGTCTCTCTGCTTCGATAGTCTGCTTCAATTGGTTTTCAGTTTTCTAAGATTTTTTGCAATGAACCTTTGCAAGGAAGAAGAAGAAGTGTTGTCTAAAATTTGAAGAAAACCAACCTAGGGTTTCATCTG